AGAGAGAGAGAGAGAGAGAGAGAGAGAGAGAGAGAGAGAGAGAGAGAGTTGGGAATGGTTTTAAAGGATTTGGTAGTAGTATCTGTGTAGTGTGGTGGGTGTGGTGAGGTGGGTGTGGGTCTTTAGCTCGTTCCATGACTGATTCTGTAGCCTAACTATATCAGATGCATCATGTTCCTTTGATGTCAAAAGTAGTTTCAACAAGAAGCAAAACTTCAGGAAACTACAAAGAAAAAGACCAACCTATATTGTTGTATTTAAATGAAGGGTATTGTGCACAGCAGGTCCTCATTTTGGTGAAGGATAAACAAGAAAAAGAAAAAAAAACCAGTCCAAGTTCACTACACTTCTAGGAAAGTTAATTTGCAGGGAAGAACACGACGAGACTATCTCTAAGTTTCCAAACTTTACAGAATCCTGAAAAGTTTAAACGGTTTGTGGTGAAAAGTACAAAGACCTTGTCGTAGACGGTGCAAACAAAAGGCACTTGACACGATACCAAGTAGGCCTCTTCATGTGTAACTACTCAGAGGAACTATTTTTCAAAGTGGGCTACAAAACGATCGCAAAATACAGATCAGAAACTTCCTTTTAAGCTTCTTCTAGTGTACAAGATACAGAGAATGTCACGTCTCTGGTCCATTGTGTGTAACTACATTATACTCACCTAGTTGATGTTGATCACCAGCCTGGTCCTTTTAAAACAAGACTCGCCGCTTCTTTCTAACCAAGACAGCTTCGGTGGTTTCTAAGGAAGCTACCGCTAGGTTACGGATGTGCGCGCGCCGGGGTCAAGTGACAAACAACTACCGGTGCCCCGCACAGTCGCATTGCGCCCCTGGCAACCTGAGACGCTACGACAGTAGGTGGAGAGAGAGAGAGAGAGAGAGAGAGAGAGAGAGAGAGAATGGCTGGCATACTAGCTGCAGTTAAGTTCAGCCTCGCAACACTGAGAAGCGTTGCGTTAGAGGATTTTATGGTTCTTTTCATGATCACTCAATAATCGATATATGAAGTGCATTACGCGATTCATTATTGTAATACTGTAAGAAGCTTTAGGCTGGGAGAGAATCTCTTTCTACTTCAGTACATTAAACGCCGCCGTTCTCAGGGCAAAATATACTGTGGTAGATCTGGATTAACGCAGTCTAGAGTCCATTCACTTTAGAGACAGAAGAGAGACCATTTGAGGTCACACTAAAACTTGTGAGTTTTATTGGGATCTGTCGCTGTTAAGCTCAAGATTATTTGTGAAACTGCTAGACTATTACCGACACTCTATGATTTTAGCAGTGGTATCCTGATTTTTACAAGGGTGGTAGGATGATGGAATCTTCTTCTTCTTCTTCTTCTTCTTCTTCTTCTTCTTCTTCTTCTTCTTCTTC